TTGTCTGTGTGGGGGACCAGCTGAAGGCGCCGGGCCCGAGGAAACCCTAAACCCTAAACCCTACAAGCTTGTAAACCCCAATAAGTTTCATGTACGCCATTCCCTCAATCTTTCAGGGTTTAGGGTTTAGGGTTTAGGGTTTGAGGTTTTTTTCTTTTGCAGGGCGCTAATGGCGCTGACAGTATATCTAGGGTTTAGGGTTTAGGGTTTAGGGTTTAGGGTTTGTTTGTGTGGGGTGCAGATGGTTCCCGCTGTGTTGGAGCCAAACAGCTGCAAGGGTTTAGGGTTTAGAGAGTTGGTGTTTCTGCCGCTGCCGCAGCAGTACTATGAAGCCGTACAAACCCTAACAAAAAAGGTGATGTTTTTTTTTTTTGTTTTTTCTTTTTGTTTATTGTTTTATTTTATTTTATTTATTTATTTTATTTATTTATTTCATTTATTTTATTTATTTTATTTTTTTTATTTTTCTGCTTTTTCTTTGATTCAACATCCGCCACCTAAGGGCTGAGGGACTGCAGGAGTTCTAGGGTTTAGGGTTTAGGGTTTAGGGTTTAGAGGTTTCTGTTTCGTGTTTTGTATGGTTGCTTTGGGTTTAGGGTTTAGGGTTTAGGGCTTCTCTGTCTGTTAATTCTATGGATGCCTGTTGTTTTAGGGTTTAGGGTTTGTGACGGTTTATTCTTTGTTAGGGTCTAGGGTCTAGGGTTTAGGGTTTGTAGGTTTAGGATTTAGGGTTTGTGTTGCTTTTGTTTGTTTATATATATTAAAGATATGCACAGGCCAAGAGGCGCTGCAGCTCAGCAGCAGCAACAAACAGCAGCAGCAGTCTCTCTCTCTTCTTCTCTGTCTCATGCTGTTGTTAGTTCATCAATAAACCCTAATCCTAAACCCTAAACCCTAAACCCTAAACCCTGATAAGCCCTCATAATATACCCAAAACCCTCATAAACCCTACACCCTGATGAACTCTAAACCCTCACAAACCCTAAACTCTGATGTACCCTAACCCCCATCAAACCCCAAACCCTTTATAATAAACCCTAAACCCTGACAGTAAACCCTAAACCCTAACACTAAACCCTAAACCCTGATAAACCCTTTCTTTGGCTTTTGTTGTCTCAGAGAATTTTGCAGAAAAAACTCCCCCAAGTCGCGGCGTTTTCTGCAGCACTTGAGCAGGCGTGCAGATGAGCAGGTGAGGGTTTAGGGTTTAGGGTTTACGAGGGTTTAGGGTTTACTAGGGTTTAGGGTTTACTAGGGTTTAGGGTTTAGGGTTTAATATCTGCGGTTTGCTTGCGCAGGCAGAACTGCAGCAAGAGACCCCTCCCTGACTTGGCAGCAAACGCTCATCTGAAATAAGGGTTTAGGGTTTAGGGTTTAGGGTTTAGGGTTTTGAACGAGGGTTTAGGGTTTTGTAATAAGGGCTGAAGGGTTTAGGGTTTAGGGTTTGGATATGAGGGTTTAGGGTTTTGGTTTTTCCTTCATTCGACTGATATTTTAAACACCAATTGGGCTTGCAGCCGCTGCGTGTTTCAAGGGTTTAGGGTTTAGGGTTTAGGGTTTAGGGTTTCGCGATTGATAGTTGTGGGGAGCCCGGGGCCCTCAAAACTAAACAACGGAGACAGAGAGAAAAGGAGACAGAGAAAGAGACAGAGACAGAAGGAGACAGAGAAAGAGAAAGAGACAGAGAAAGACAGAGACAGAAAAAGAGAGAGAAAGAGATAGAAAGAGATAGAAAAGAGAGAGAAAGAGACAGAGACAGAGAGAGAAAGAGACAGAGAAAGAGAGAGAAAGAGAAAGAGAGAAAGAGATAGAGAAAGAGAGAAAAAGAGACAGAGAAAGAGAGAAAAGGAGAGAGGAGACAGAGACAGAGAAAAGAGAGAGAAAGAGAGAAGGAGACAGAAACAGAAACATAGAGAGCCAATAGCGACAAAAGGAAATATAAACAGATACTAAACCCTAAACCCTAAACCCTAAACCCTAAACCCTCGAGTAACGAAACAGAGACAGCTGCACAGCAGCAAAGTTAAAGAAAAGAAATTTCTTCATCAACCACAAACCCTAAACCCTAAACCCTAAACCCTCTTGATGCCTGCTCTGAGGCTCCGTGCCTACGGCAAGAAACCAGGGTTTAGGGTTTAGGGTTTAGGGTTTAGGGTTTGTTTTCCTTTTCGTTGTCTTTGCGTTTACTGCAGCATCTGGCTGCTGCTGTTGCTGCTGCTGCTGCTGCTGCTGCTGCTGTTGCTGCTGCATTCTTTTTTGTTGCTGCAGTTGCAGTCTGTGTTGTTTTTGTTGCTGTTGCAGCTGCAGCTTAATCTGCTGTTGCTGTCGCTGCTGCTGCTGCTGCTCTTCCTGCTGCCGCCGCTGCTGCTGCTGCTCCTGCTCCTGCTGCTGCTGCTGCTGCTGCTGCTGCTGCAGCAAGTGTGCGACTGTGTCTGCTGCCTCCCAGCTGCTGCTGCTGTCCGCCCACAAAACCTTCACTGCTGGCCTCTCCCCCCCAATAGAAAACGTCTCCACTACTTGCTGCAGCTGCTGCCGCTGCTGCTGCTGCTGCTGCTGCTGCTGCTGCTGCTGCCTATACACCGCACCGTCAGCAGCAGACGCCTGCACGCATGCATACACATATATATACATTTCGTTGTTGTTGCTGCTGCTGCTGCTGCTGCTGCTGCTGCTGTTGATGAGGCGAATGCTCCTCTTGCTGCTGCTGGTTGTGTTTGTTGTACTGTTACTGCTGCTGCAGCTGCTGCTAGTTTTGCTGTTGCTGCTGCTGCTGCTTGTGCTGCTGTTGCTGCTCCAGCTGCGGCTGTTGTTGCTGCTGCTGCAGTTGTTGTTGCTGCTGTTCCCTACACGGGCGGTGTGCATAATAACGAAAACAAAATAAACAAAAAACAGCAAAACAAACAAAAACAACAAAACAAACAGAAACAAAAAAAAATAAAAAATAAAAAAATATATTATTTTCTTACTTTCTCCTTCACTACCTTTCCCTTCCTTTCTTCTTCTCTGACCCCTCTTTCGTATATATCCCCGCAGCGGCTCACCTCCTCGGGGGGCCCCCCGCTGGGGGCCCCCCCCCTACTGGGGGGCCCCTTGCCTAGGGGGCCCCCCC